GTGCAGCATACTTTCTGCTCCACATAAAAAGCAAAGCAAGAGAGCACATCTCGCATCCTGGAGTAGACCGTGATCGCGTGCCAGCAGAGATGATGGTGTGTGCATGATGCACCAAGCACATTTCAGCCTTTAGTCAAAAAGCCCTGCTCTGTTTTTTTTTCCCTCCTTTCCTTTTCCACCCTGTGTCTCTAATCTTGAATGTGTGGAGAAAAAACAGCCAACACATCCATGCACTGGGTGACTTTTAATCAAGTCTCAGACTGCCGTCTCTTGCATTGGTGCTATGGGCCTTGGCAGCACTGAGAGAGGGAGAGAGAGCCAGATTAGATCGCTGTTGTTTTTTTAGTAGGGGAAGGGGGTAGTCCACAGGAGTGGGAGGGTGCACTGAAGGCCAGCTGGGGGAGGTGGAGAGAGATTAGCAAATAACTGGGCCATGGGTAAACACTCAGCAGTGCCCGCCACCATCCAATGAAGAGGCACAGAGCAGTAAACTACTCTGAAGCCTTCCGATATGACTACCCCCTCTCTCCTCCCCTCTCTCCTCCTCGGTCCACTGGCCTTGCCTGCATCTGACCCACAGCACCCAGGTACAGAGCCTTCCATGACCAATCATAAATGGAGAAGGAAAAAACACAGAACCCAAGTCAAGTAGAGTTGCAGGCAATCCAATGAAAAGTGATTACTGGACTGTTCCCATGGCTCAGACTGCAAATGAGTAAAGCCTGGGTCACTTGGCTTCATTCCATGCTCCACTGTCTTCCTTCTCAGTCTACTTTTGTATATTGAGCTACTAAATTCAATAAATACATTTCAGACAATGAATGTCTTTTCCTGTAAAGATTTAGATGTGAGTAGATGCTAAAGAAGTTGCCGTGTGACCCGTGTTCTCTGTTAATCTTGTGCACGCTTGTTATGTGCAGCCACACAAACAGAATGGAACTATTCAATGTGTTGCAGGTCAGTCAGTGTGGTATAATGATATTTTAGCCAGACAGGCAATCATGTGTTTAGATTGGGTGGGAGTGAAGGGTTTGGGGACTGTGGGCACGTTGCTTGACAGGATGAGGGCTTTTATTTGTTTTTATACCTCAACGCTCTTGTAGATTAAGCTTTATGAAAAGGGTTCATGTCATGACTTTAAATACTAATAGAAGTATTACTAAATAATTTTTGTATGCACTACTATTTTTATTTTATTTCTACCAAGCCAGGCATACAAGAGTGTTTAACTGTTTGTGGGTGTTGTCACAGGCTCTGCACTTCCTTCTGTTGTCCCTTTATCTTTCTCCTCTTTGTACTAGAGTTGTTCTGACTTCCACCATCTATACCAGTCTTATTGCTGAATTTGAGTGCTGACAAATGATAGAAAATGACAAAAGAAAAGATGATTGCTGATTAAATCTATACATGTTTAGCCTTCCGCCTTTTTAGAAGTGGCTATTAAATGATAAAAGGGAAAAGGCCAATGAAAATTATAAATGATAAATAAGAGGTTGAAAATACATCATCATATGCATATGGTGGACAGCAATCTTGTATTTATAAACAAAAGTGGTGTGAGATATGAGTAAAAGACAGTGAAGAGGTGCAATAATAGCTGTTGTTTTCAAATTAAATTACGGTCAGAGGAGTCCCAGTGAGAAGCTGGGAGGTTCTCTGCTATCCATGTGTTCACAATACTGGGTATGGCATGACTACACAGCCCATACTAATCAGTTTTGTCAAAAGATTTCACAATGGTTCTGTTTCAGTCATGCCGTACTCTCGAAAAGAAAGCCTGTAGCATAAAAATACACTGCTTAAATGTGGGTGACCTACGGTTTAATACTGTTTCTGAGCACATCCTTTGCAGGATGTGATGATGAAGCACTGGAGCTGCTGCCTTCCTCCTAACATGCTGCTCTTGGTACTTTCTGCTGCAACATGTGGATAAATTCAACGCTTCAAATAGCTACCAAAGTTAGTCGTGGGGGCTGTGCTGCAATTGAACAATCATGCTTGAAGTGGAGGTTTTGGCAAAAAGTTTGCTGACTCACCGTTGGAACAAATGTTGGGCAGGATCATTTCTTTTGCCATGAACAGTAGAACAGTCTTTTATAGAAGTTATTTTGAAGTGTTTTGTATTGATGATCCTTTCTAAAAAAGTATTTTAAATAGTATACCTGATTTCCAAGTTCTTGGTCAGAAAAAGTGTTTGTCTGTCTCTTTCAATATCAAAACACCTTGGAATTGCAAAATGTTTTCAACAGGGAGAAAATGTAAGAAACGCACAAAAGCTCTATTCAGACACTGAGATTTCACCGACGTTATTCAATAAGAAAAAATGTGACTAGAGAGATCAGTTATTTTTCAAATCTTCAAAGTAAAGAAAAATGAAAATACAGCTGCATCAGAAGACTTTCTGTGCCCATTGTCAACCGTGCAGCATTTATTTGTCATATTTTAGCTTGGTGGAATAGAAACAATATGAAGCCGTATGTATGATAAGATGTTAGTGTGTGTACTATTTAGTAATCAGAATGCAACACCCTGCTAGAATTTTACCAGCTAACCCCGGCAGAGCCGTCAGCCATTTCCTCATGAAAATGAAAATTCTTCAACATAGTTATAACTGTGAGTTTGAACTCCTTTCCCGCTTTACAAAGCATGCAACCCACAGAACAGAAGGCAGTGAGGAGCCCACAGGTTGAGGGTCGCCGAGGCCCACAGTAGACCAGGGTTGATAGCTTTATCAGATGATGGGAGCAGCGGAGGAGAGTTGGCTTCATGCCCAGCAGAGCTACCACTCCATCATGTCACCCTCTGCCCACACAAGCTAGCTTGACCTTGGACTGAGCACAGACACTTTCCTTTGTCCGCCCCTTTAAACAGTTTTCAGCCCCCCACACCCTCAGATGCAGGAAAGGGAGGAGCTGGGAGTAAAGGAAACTAAGTAGCATATTATGTCTCCCTTATCTGAAATTACCCACGGAAGCATCCTGTGCACACATTTCTTGCTGGCATAGCACACAGTTTTCCAGACATTCACTGCACACGAAAAAAGGAGAACGGACACTTTCTGACTTCTTACACAAAAATCAACAATATTACATTAGATTCAAGGTTTATTCTGATTTTATGTAATACGACCTATAAAATTGTTTTATTATTTAGGAACAAGGTTGGAACTTAACCATGCACACTGAGCTGCTTAAACTCTGGTCTTCTAGACACTGCTGTTATTACTCATCTTTTTATTGATGTTTTTTAATTGGTGCCATTTGGAACCCTTTAGCTCCAATCCTCACATACTCCTCTGTATGGGAATGTGTTATGTCCTTCAGGCTAGAGTTGAAATTGGTATTTGTATTAATCTTCTGCTTGAGAGAACCAGTTGTCTTTGTGGGAAGACTTTATATGTGTGTGTGTGTATATGTATGTATGTATGTATGTATGTATATATATATTCGATAATTTTTATATATTCGGTTCGATATTTTTTCGATACAAAAAAATGTTCATGCCTTTTTAATTTGTCATTTATTAAAATTATAAATATATATTTTAACTCAAAAGTACAGTTTTTTTTTTCCTCAGATATTTTTATCAAAGTTTCTGCATCCATTTTTACAAAAGACAAATTGAACAATATGCCGTCAGTTTTTAAATTTAACCCTAACCCTAACCCTTGTGCGCGTTTTTTATTTTGACAGCGAATGCGCACCTGTGGACCACTTATGTGCAGCCCTGGTTATTTAGCTCGTCATATCGCAGCCACAGAAATTCTTTTGTCCATGAAACCATAAAGCTGCACTTTCTTTTTTCCTTATAGTCTGATTCCTCATAACTTTTCTGTTTTGTGGTAAGCTTTTCTTTGGCTGTCACTTCTTCACCCTGACCTGTCTTATTTGGCTCAGCAGAACTAAAATATATATCCTGCTGCTTTTACACACGCACTCACATAACGCTCAGCGATTCTCTGCACGATTAACCTCTCACATGTTTAAGCTTGCTGCCGGAGATTTCACTTGTCATGTTTGCGTAGTAAGCTAACGATTAATAAGACGATGTCAGAGGAATTGGTGCACAAATTATCATCACTCACCAATCAGTGCTGTCGCTCTCTATACACAGTTCACGTGATTGCAAAGTGAAAGCAAAAAACAAGCACAAATTCAATTGGATTTCATTATGTCACATATTGACAGTGGCTCACCGATGCCAATGACATAATTGCCCAGCTACATTTACGAAAGAATGCAAAAGCATTGACATATATTTTTCCTTCCTGCGATAGCCCGACGGGCAGGGCAGAGAGAGATTTTGGTAGCCCGACTGGAAAAATCGCTAGCCCGTATTGCGAGCCCTGTATCTGATTGAGGAATCACTCATCTTTGGAAAAGAGAGTTTATTACAGAGAAATGGCTAACACACTAGTTCCCACCCGTGTAATTGAGCATTGCGTGGCACATCCAACATACTTTAGTCCATGACGCGCTTACCTTCAGGGTCATACGTCACATGAAAACCAAAATAATTCCAAACGCCAGATCTGAATGAGGGTGGGGGAGGTTCAATTTGCCATGTTGCAAGGAGAGCTTAACTTCTGTCTCGCTAGCTTGCCCTGCACTCTTCCTTCTGACGATGCTGTCTGTGTTGAGCGCTCAGTGGATCTGCGCTCGACAGTGCAGCCTAGGTGGAGTAGTCGAACGCAGATTCACGAACGCTCAACACAGACAGCATCGTCAGAAGGAAAGTTGATAAAATAAATTTCAAATTTTGTATTGTTCGATACATATGCGTACCGAACCGAAAGCACTGTATCGAACGGTTCAATATCGATACGAATATCGTTGCACCCCTAAAATATATATATTTGGATCTTTCCAGTGCCTACCTCTATAGCTCCTATAACACACACGTAAACACACACAAAAATATCTCTCTCTCTAAATGTATATAAAATAATAATTTTCTTTTCTTTTACATAACATACATCTTTGCTCTCTATCTCTTCACAGCGGCGCAGGGTGAGGTGAGGGAATGTGCCTTCACAGACCAACAGCAGCAATGGGAGGTGGAACGAGTGGCGGGGGATGAAGGCCGGGTCTCCCCAGAGAATACCACTATCCGATGTGCCAAAGGCAGCCACTGTTTTGGGCTGTGGGAGAAAACTCCTCCAGGAGAAGTGCGCCTGGTGAAGCAAGGTATTTTCACTGTGACAATGTTTGTTTGTTAGATTGTGAAAAGTCGCCAAAAAGCTTAGAACCTTTCTGGCTCAAACAATCTTTGTGACTGCAACAAATATGCTGTCACTAGTGGGAAAACCAGGTGCTAGTTATTTTCCCAATCCTTGATCAATCTTAGTATATGTCAGTTGAATTTTTAATCATTCCAGGTTCTCGGCATGAAACTGTGTAATTATTAAAGTAGTGGGCTGACAGAAAATTAATATCATCAGTTTTTAATTACTCAGTAAAGTTGTTTTGTATAGGTCTGTGTGGAAAGTACTCCATACGTTGTGGCTTAGCAACAGTTCAGCTCATAATACACCTACAACTTGATTTTTAGCATCATATAGCATCATATAGCATCATATAAGTACGCGTGGATCTGCCAGGCTAGAGGAAAGCAGGAAAACCACAGAGGAGATTCACTAATGTAGTGGATGCATAAAAAAACACATGCTGTCCTGCTTTACTCATGCAGGTGAGGAGAGCATATGTTGTTTGTGAGTTTTAAATGCTGACTTGCTACAAGGGTTTGGTACAGCAGGAAGCTTTATATGTTTAATTTAGTTTTTATGCCTAATTCCCTTCCTGACACAGTCACAACGAGTCGTTGGAATCAAACCAGCAACTCTTCACTTGGTGGGCAAATGTATAAGTCACTACAATATGGAGCCATTGACTACATTTAGGGCCACAAAAACCAGAAGACAAAACATCTGTGTTCGATATGCTTTAAATGTGGAGAAGAATGAATTCATCGTTGACATATAAAGCTGTCGCTTGGATGTTCAGAAAGGTTACATCCTCAAACAACACATAAAGGAAGACAGAAGGGTGGGTCGAATACAAGCCTGAGAGACTTGTATTTATATTGTCTTATTTGTCACAGTATTTTTTAGTATTCAATGTCATGCAGTGCCCAATATTTTCATTTTCATTTTAAAGACATTTTCTCCATAAATTGTTTCAAAAACCCATAAATTGGGACACAATTTTAACCAGAATGCAGTAAGAAAAATTACAAATCCTCCATTTTTGTTTTTTCAGTCATCATCAACCGTTCAAATCATTTGCTCAAGATGTAAATAAAAATGTTAATGGTTCATACGCAGAAATCTTCTTGTTGGAGGCCCTTTAAAAGTCGTAATCTGCTGCTTTCCTTTACTTTATATTAAATTAAATAATTGGGGGTGTTTGTCTGTTTGAGAGACAAATGTTTGAATCTTTATCTGTTTTGTGACATATTAGACTGAAATATTATTTAAGAAAAAGTGAAATAAAAGGCTCCTTACGCATATTTCATTTGTGTCTCAATCTTGGCTGGAAAAATTCTTTGTGACAGAAGCTGACCTCTACCACACTACTTGAAAATTCATATGAATGTTTCAAGTTATCTGAAAGAGTTGAAAAGAGCTGTAAGCTCAATTTTTACATTGAAATGGTTTCCTAGAATAGACTCAAAAAGAGCTATTTTGAATGTCCACTTCAGCACTCCTTTGTACATACACATTGTCAAATGCCTTCATCCAAGGGCATAGTCAAAAGTATATAGTATGAAATAGACACAGAACTTTGTTATCTGTTTCATAAAATCAGTTTTTCTTTTATCTATAATCATGTTTTTAAGATGCTTTTTATTTAGTGAAACAGTGAAAGCATAGTTTGTCCATAAAATGGTCAAACTTAACAGGAAAATTCAGGGCTCTAGACTAACTTTTTGCCATGGGCGTACCGGTACGCCCAACTTTAAAAAGTTAGGCGTACCGGCACAAAAGTTAGGCGCACACAAATTTTATAATAATTTATATAATATAATGTGTTTTTCTGAATACACTGTGCTTTTTCAGCATTCAAAGATTGATGACACCGTGTCAGAGCACTGGCTATGAATTTCAGAAGGATCAGGCCTTAACTTAACAGGAAAAGTTAGCAATAGTTCTTTTCCTATTACAGCTACATCCACTTCTGTCGGGCCTAGGCTGCTCACTAGGGCTGGGTATCATCACTGATTTCTATAATCCATTCGATTCCGGTTTTCAAAGTCCCGATTCGATTCAACTTAGCCTCAGACAGTCAGAAATATTATAATTCTGATCATTTATCAGTACTGACTTCATCAGAATTGTGAACATCACAGCAGATGCCTTTGTGTGAAAGTAACTGAGAATAAAACACAGAAAAACATGAAGGAGATTTTCCTGGTCTGGCTTTTTATAGCAGATAACCTTAAAAATATTCTACAATGTTCTGCATATAAAGTTTAGATTTCTTCAGTATTGAACAACAGAAAAAATAGGCTTTCTTGTCCGGGGTCATTTAAGTGAAAAAAAGAAAAGAAAAAGACAGCAGCCACAGCGCTGTAAACAACGGTAGACTGGTAGGCAATAAGTGAATGAATAATACAGAACAGAGATTGGAGACGGGAAACTGTTCTTGAAGTACAGAGAGAGATAGAGAGAGAGAGCTAGCTGTGCATGAAGTGTGATTTTAATAGTCGTGGAAGCAAAACAGCAAAATTCATGACGACATTGATCAAATGTGAAGCGCAGTTTGCTGCTTCTTTTGCTGCTGGCTCGGCGAATTTTGGTTGGAGAGACAAAACCTGCAGCTCAGAATCAGCGCAAAAAGACGTAAACACAGCGCGGACCGGACGCATCAGGATCGCTAAGCTCCGACAGCGGGCCGCCTGAGAAAGACAAAGTTGATTCTGATGCGTCGGTCTGCTCTGTGTTTACGTCTTTGTGTGGAATCCGTGTACCTGCTCTCATTTGCTGTTTGTTTGTTGTTGAAATGGTTTTGTGAGCTTTAATCTGAGAATCTGGCGTTTCTGGCAAAACACAGTTATATTTAAAAGTCGATTCAGGATTTAATGAATTGATATCGCTTTATTCAAGCTACTCACCTCCCACTTCCACCTGCACTTTCAACTGGACCACGGCCAATCAGAGAGGTCCCGCCCCTTACTAGCTCTGATTGGTTTAGTCCACAATAGGGGCAAAATGTGTCTGTTGTTGACCACAGGGAAGGTTGCAGATTTTATTTTATTTTATTTTATTTTATTTTTCGGCTACCCAAACATTTGGTCGCACAGGTCCAACCAAATTTTTTTTTTTTAGTCGCACCACTGAAAAATTTGGTCGCATTTGTGACCAAATTGGTCGCACTCTAGAGCCCTGAAATTAGTTTTTACTTTCACTATATCTGACCCAATTGTGCTGTCACATTCAATAACTGTTATTTTAAAACTGAGGGGTTAATACGTTTTTTGGGCGGGGTTTCTCCAACATTTTTTTTTTTTACCCTTCTTCAGGTTGCTGGACTCACCTAGGCGACAACCAGGCATGCCGAGATGACCGCTGTGTGGTTACCAACTTGCCTCCACAGATACAGAATGGGACTTACCACTTCTGCTGCTGTGGCAGTGACATGTGCAATGTGAACTTCACAGAGGACTTCCCGCTGCCAAGCCCCACCACTGCGCAACCCATACGTAAGAACACTCTCTTACCCCCGTTACCTTTTAGCCTCACGCCCAGCCACCTGTGAGAGATTACAGAAGATAAAATTGAATACTAAACATGCTGTCAGTGTTGTGAATTTCAAGCCAAAGGTCTTGTCTTCCTCTAGCCAGTGAATGCAAATTAGTTGACCTAAAGTCAGATCTGATCCAAATTTATGGTTTTATTAATTGTTACATTGACTTTTTTTAGTCCTAGATAGACAAAAAAGGGCTGCCATAGCTACACCTACTTATTGCTCTCTCTAGCCCCCTTTGTTAGTCTGCTATATCATTTAGCAACAGGGACTTTGAGATGACCTTTCCAATTGTCACCAGTTAGAAAACCTTGACAACGGTGGATCAGAAAGATGAAGAACTGGATACAACAAATGACATTATAGTATTGTCCACATCCACTCTTAGGAGCCGTGTAGATTATAACCCCTAAAGGACCATGACAGTGGTTGATAGGGGATTCGGTTTAAGTCGTGACTGAATACTGTGAAAGGTGTCAGACAAAGCAAACAGATAAATTGTTAATTGTTAATTCTTCTCAAGGTTGACCCGTGAATGAAAGAGCATGAGGTGGGGGCGGTGGCAACAGCAGCTTGTCATCTCCCTTGCCTACACACAAACACGCTTCCTACCATCCATGTCGTCTCTCTGCATTCCACGGATTACATGGCGTCTGCTTTATCCGTCTGTCTGTGGGTGTGCCGGTGACTGTTCAACTGTGTAGACAGATGACAAAGAAAAGAAATTGTAGGGGAAAAAATTGATGCTGCTGGAAACTCAAGTTTGTGTTGTATTGTAACTCTAAATCCTGTTTCCGTTTTCAGTACGGTGTTATTTCTCGGCATGTCTGGGCAGACGTACTCTTGTGTTGTTAGAAGTAGGAAATGGTTTGAATCAGTTGGCTGTCTGAATGATCTTAGGCCAAGATTCAAGAGTGACATTCAGGTCTAGGTAAGAGGCACTGAGACGAGTTAGAAAACAGGCGATTGGCTTAACGCCTATTCGTGTAGTGAAGAAACTTGTAGGTACAGAAATTTAAGTAAAGCTTCGGAATTCATCATTTTATTTAAAATTACTGAAGTTAGAAGTTTACAGAGAATGTACGCATTTATTGATACAGGAGGTCCCAATTCAGGGTTTAGTTGTATGCCATGTGTGTGTTTCTCAAGCTCAGGTCTTCTATCAGGCCTGGGAGTTTGAGGGTTCACAAATTTGCTGTTTCCTGGACTGCACTGTTTTTTTTTTTGGATGATGTGATGGAATCTGCTGAAGTCACTCTTTCAGTTTAGGGGTTACAGCTGCTAATGCTGCTATTATCACAGGCACCACTTTGCCCTTTGGCTTCCACTTCTGCTCCAGTTTTTTCTCAAGTTCCTGGTACTTCTCTGTTTTTCTGTCTGCTGGGATTGTCACATCTATGATAACTGCAGTCTTGTGCTGATAACCACTACTCTGTCTGGTTGGATGGCCAGCAACTGCTTGTCTGGAACTTGAAGAAGTCCACACAGGACCTTAGCCCTGTTGTTTTCAACCACCTTCGGCAGCGTCTCCCATCAGGACTAGGGATGTCTAATCCATTTGGCAGCACAGAAGTTCCTCTACACTAGGGCTGCTCGATTATGGCAAAAATGATAATCACGATTATTTTCACTGAAATTGAGATCTCGATTATTTGACGATATTTATTTAACAATAACAATGTATTGAAAAATAGAGAGGTGCGCTCGATTTGCCACACGGAGCAGTAAAGCATGAGCGAGGGGCTAATAATCGACTCAGTCATTTTTAATGATCGTTGAAAGCCCAGATCGGAATCGCGATTAAAATTCGATTAATTGAGCAGCCCTACTCTACACTATCCCAGCTTCTTGGTTGTGCCTGTACAATGTCCCAGCTTGCATCTTACATCCTGTTACAAAGTATTCAACTGTCTCCAGTTCAGTACTTTTCACTGGCTGTAACTTGTCATGTTGGCTGTGAAAGACCTGTCTCTATGGATCTGGTGCTTAGGGCATATTCATGTGCTGCCATAATCAGAACCTCCGCGGCGTCCTCTAGATGGGCCTTTATTAGCTAGTTGTAGGTTTTCTTGATGTCAGCTACTTCCTTTGTCAATGGTACATGATAGCTCCTCCTCCTTTTCTTCATCACCATCTGTCTTCTCTGCCTGAGCCATTCTTGGAGGAGCTCATATTGTGGACCCATGTTCTTGATGTATTTGTGTGTTTCTTCCTGGATTGTAGCTCTGGCAATAATTCTCATCCTTCTTGTTTCTGCCGCTGGACTTTGGGTAGAAGCCTCTATATTGTGAGGAGATTTTATGTTTTGACATCAGTAGTATTGGGTCTCCTCCTGTGGCCAGCATATTATTCTAGCTGGGTATCTGATCTGGTAGCATATGTATCGATAGCTCAGATCTTATTCCTACCACTGAGCTGGGTTCTCAGCACTCATCTTACCTTCTGAATGTATTTTGGCTGTGGCTGCAATACAGGAGCAGGGACAGTGCATCACCTTTGTATATCGGCACTTTTTAATTTAGTTACTAAAATGAAATAGATTTAGACGTAGAAGAGAAAAATTGGAAAGACTGCAAAAATTATTCATTCACCTGCGGCTGGAGATACATTTTTAAGTTATCTATACACTCCTATGTATGTCACATTCTCCCGGACAAGGTATTTCAACAACTCCTGGAGAAACCTCGTTCAAACTTCGTCCAAATATTCACTCAATGGTGAGATGATTTAGAATTTAGTTCTTATGTCTTGTTGAACTTCTGACCACTAAGTAAATAAAAGTTATAATTCTAATAACATGATTTCTGACTTTCCACTATGTGGGTTAGGGTTAGGGGCAGGGCTCGCAAAATTTCAAAGTCCCTGGTAGCCCTTCGGGCAGGGACTCTTCAGTTTTTGGTAGCCCAAATAAATTTAAGTAGCCCGAATAAAAAACAGAGCAATTTTTTGATTGATGTTTTGTTTCCGTTATAATATTATACATTAAAGTATATTATTATAACGGAAACAAAACATTAATCAAAAAATTGTTGAAACACAAATTACAACATTGTATAAAAATTACAATCATCAACTCAAATACTTGGTTCTAATTGAACAGAAATTTCTATGAACTTGTAAGAACTGTGTAGAACATGAATCAGTCTGTGTCAGATCCTGAATTTCCACTGAAGTCACGGGTAAGAGGCAAGTGGAACCAAGATCTAGGACATTTGCTTTTTGAAGTTTTCAAAGGCTGCTAAATTTTGCCAGTGGTAGTTCACTCTTTGCAACATAGTAGCTGTTCTAAACAGATTTTCCAGGTTTATTTTTAGTATGTTATTTGCAGTTGGTGTTTGTTCCGGTAAAGATATTGCAGACTGAGCAATAATGCATTTCTTGCATTTCTCATGGGTTCTAATGGGGGCCTTTCTTAAAATTACATGTCCCAGTAACAAAGGCGCTTGTCGACTCAGAAATCGAGAGAAAACCAACAACACACCCGGCAGAACATTATGTTATTTACACGGGTGCACATAAGTGGTCTGCAGGTGCGCATTTGCTGTCAAAATAAAAGACGCGCACCAGATAAGAAGTTGAAACGTGCGTTTGCGTCCATATAAAAGGCAGTGTTTTTGTCCGCTAGAGTGGGATTTTCACGGCACATTCTGCACCAAATCTCTGTGCGTTCATCATTTGTTTGAAGCCAGCTCACCTCCTGCAACCACTTTTCCGAGAATACGTGCTTCTTTTGTGGTTCGGACTACTTCTGACATTTGTTTGGAGGTGGAGGAAAACCAAAGTAATTGCTTAAAGGAGCTTCTTCGACATCTTTAAGAGTTCTAAACAAATGTCTGTCCTCTTCCAGAAAATCGTATGTACGCAAACACGCGTTGCACCTTCTTATCTTGTGCGCGTTTTTTATTTTGACAGCGAATGCGCACCTGCGGACCACTTATGTGCAGCCCTGGTTATTTAGCTCGTCATATCGCAGCCACAGAAATTCTTTTGTCCATGAAACCATAAAGCTGCACTTTCTTTTTTCCTTATAGTCTGATTCCTCATAACTTTTCCATTTTGTGGTAAGCTTTTCTTTGGCTGTCACTTCTTCACCCTGACCTGTCTTATTTGGCTCAGCAGAACTAAAATATATATCCTGCTGCTTTTACACACGCACTCACATAACGCTCAGCGATTCTCTGCACGATCAACCTCTCACATGTTTAAGCTTGCTGCCGGAGATTTCACTTGTCATGTTTGCGTAGTAAGCTAACGATTAATAAGACGATGTCAGAGGAATTGGTGCACAAATTATCATCACTCACCAATCAGTGCTGTCGCTCTCTATACACAGTTCACGTGATTGCAAAGTGAAAGCAAAAAAACAAGCACAAATTCAATTGGATTTCAATATGTCACATATTGACAGTGGCTCACCAATGCCAATGACATAATTACCCAGCTACATTTCTGAAAGAATGCAAAAGCATTGACATATATTTTTCCTTCCTGCGATAGCCCGACGGGCAGGGCAGAGAGAGATTTTGGTAGCCTGACTGGAAAAATCGCTAGCCCGTATTGCGAGCCCTGTATCTGATTGAGGAATCACTCATCTTTGGAAAAGAGAGTTTATTACAGATTTTGCGAGCCCTGGTTAGGGGTATTTGCTAATTTTCATTTCTCCAGTGTGAGAATTTACCCCTTTTCTGACCAAATAGTGAACTACTTTAAAACTACTTTAATTCGTCAACATCAAAATCACATCCAAATCTTAAGATGCGCTTTAATTAGCGACTACAGCTGTCACATAAGTTTCAATGGTGAAATATAAATTTCCATTTTTTATTTTTTTTTAAAGCTTAATGCAAATGCTCCTGTATTTCAGTTTTGCCTCTTTGATGTTCTTAAGGCAGCAGAGCTGGCACTGTCTGGGATGGTTGGGAGATTCTAACAGTCTCTTGGTATGTTCTGTCACATGACTTCCTGTAAAACACTCTTGTTAATTATGAACTCTGTGACCTTGGCATTTCAGCCGAGCCTAGTCAACCCCCCACGTGTGCGCACTAGAGTGTGTACATCCATGCTCATTGTAGTATGTCAGTCAGAGTTGCCCTTAGGGTCTGGAAGCCATCAATTATTTATAAAATACGTGTGTTTCATGACATATCCATTGTGTTGACTTTTGTAACAGATGCAAGAAAGTGTGTTTGTGGACTCTCCACTGTTTGTGCACAGTAGTAGTATATGTGAGGGTGCGAGTGTTAAAATATTTAATATCTGCTTGTCTCCACCTCAGCTAACTGCTTTTATCTGTTATGGTAAGCAAAAACAGCCGACCATCTGCCTACTATTCTCTCTTTTTTACATATTTTCTTTTTCTCTTTAACATTCACTTCCCACACATCCTCTGTTTCTCTCTTCATAAACTGCTCCCTGGGCCATTCATGTTTGTTTTATTTGAGCTCTTCTTTTCTTTACGGCACACCCAAACATTTTCAGACACAAATACTTAAAATTGCATTCAGATAGTTGTGTGCGGTGGGTGACTTGCTATTTGGGAAGGAAGAAAAATTGCAACGTACTTTTTTTAGTATGTTTAAAATCTGCTTGTTTTGTAGACCACTTTAGAGCGAGAGTTACTGCTTTTACCAAAGCAGCAGTAATTGTTTTTATTTAGCCAAAGTATTATACTAAGATCATCAAACATTGCTTTGAAATTCTTGCCATTTTTTATAGTGTTATTTTTCCCCCCATTAATAAACTCAAAAAACGATTGACTGTACCTTTTAATGCAAAGTTGTGTGAAATGTTATTCTAGGAACAATGTTAAACACAGCTAAACACTGTGTTAGCTGGCTCGACAAAACCTAAACCCTCAGTTAGAGGTGATGTGCGTCATGACAGTGGTTATCAGTTTTCTCTGTTAAGCCGGTCAGTCTACTTCTGGCTCCAGGTGCACTAGCATAAAAATAGATGTAAACATAAAAATCTTTCCTATAAGTGACAGCTACTCCAATCAGGGTTATTATCAGATGATGAGGATAAAATGGTATTAAAAATCTATTGAAAAGCATAGAAAATATACCAGTTTGCAGCATTTTTATAAGTAGGATGAGATGTTAATGCTGCAGAAAATCGTTAATCTGTATATTTATTGCACAAGTTATTTATTTTATGCTGCATGCGGTGATGGCTGCATGCTAGAGCAGGCATCACCTTGTACATGTATCCCTAGCAGAAAGCTGGCTGCAAATCAAAGGATCAATGAAAAATATTTGATCTCCTGCTGAATTTGCAGTCATTGAGTAAAAAGTAAGTTACGTATTTGATCCTGAAGCAAAACATGATTTTAGTATGCGGCAGAGACTACTTGGCCCACTCCTCTTTACAGAAACTCTTGAAATTCTATAATTTACCATGGTGAAAAAAAGCCAACTTTATGACACAGGAGATTCTGAGTTTAACACCACTAACCTGCTAATCTCCATTTGTTGTGCACCCCTACCTCCCTTTTGGTTTCCAATTGCATCATCAGTCATCACCAATATAATTTAAGCATTAATGGGCCCCTTTATATTCTTCTGTTCATAGAATACAAAGAAAGAAGAAATTAAACAAACAGCCAAACATTACACCACAGAGCAAACACAATAAATAATTATACTATGAAAAGTTTTGTAATGCAGCAATCCAGTAAGTCCTTAACAGGCTGCTTGTTCTGCCTTTATGCAGTGTACGTTTTTCCCTTTTGCCATCAACAACTCCCTCATTAGCATTATCCGAGATGTGAAATGTAGTTAAGAGCACAGCTAGTCACTGGTCTCGTTATTTTGATGTATTTCTGCTTTCCTCTCATCATCTTTAATCTGTCTTCTGTCACAGCTTTTAAAACAATATTCAGCTACCTGTCTTGCTAACGTAACCCAGCATGTGGTGCAGCATTGTCATTTTGTAAATGTGTGTTATAGAGTTGCAAATGGTTTATCTTTAATATTATGATTACATCTGAGTAAGGCTACGTCCTTCCGTCTGTCCGTTTTCTCTCCCTTTTGGCCTCCCGACCACACTGAGACGGCGTTTTCGCTCATGGAAAACGCAGCGTTTTGAAAATGCTCTCGAAAACATACATTTGAAAACTGTGCTTTCGCATCGCAGTGTAGACAGCGAAAACGGAGAATTTCTAAAACATTGACGCATGTTAGTCATGTGATGCAGTCATGTGACCAAATAAACTAAGATAGCGGAGGGCAATTTTGACAGCCCTATTAAAGATTAATATCAGTCTGTACATGCTACAGATAGCTTTTCCTCAAATTCTTTAATTCTCACTTGCTTTTGCAACTTTGTACTTTTGTGTTACTCGCAGCAACAACTCCACCTCATTGTTAGTCTATTTAAAAAAACTCTGTGCTTTTCCTCGATATTTTGCCATGACATTTCAAAGAGCCGGAAAGTAAATAAGTGGCAGACCGAAATGAGGCAGGTTGAATCTTCTTACTGGCCGAAAACACTTACTGGAACGTAAGCGTTTTTGGCCATTTCAATGTGGACGCGCAACTCTGTGAAAACGACTAAAAACGGTAGTGTGGATGTGCAGCGTTTTCAAATCTATCCGGGCTAGTGTGGGCGTAACCTTGGAAGAGGAAAAACAATGTTTTTCACAGTGCTCCAGACAGCAATTAATAAAATAGCCTCTGTGGGACTCCACCAGTATAGGGGTATTTGGAAAAACAATCCTGTTGTACATGAAATTATAATAGTGAATGTATTTCCTTAAATTATACATCCATTTTTAGTACAAGCTGTGTTTTCTTACCTGTATTTTGGCACGCTGCTTCAGCACAAGAGCAGAAAAGAAGAAAAAACCCTGCTGGAATATGTGTTGCACCACTGTTCAGCTTGGTGCGTAAATGTGTGTCCTTGTGCCCGTATGTGATAGAAGCAATTATCTGTACAAGTACAGATAACAATCATCGATGGAAACAGGATTTAAAAATAATTGATAGTAAAACAAACTTTCCAGTATATCTTACTACTACTGGTTGTGTATGGCGTTATTTTTGTGCCACTATTCTGAGCGCACGTAAAAAAAAAATTGAGCACATGTTAAAAAAAAAATTTGCAGGTGCAAGTGTTGCATTTTGAGGAGAAATTTTTTTGAGCAAAGAAAAGCTAAATTTGAGTGAACAAAATTCATTGCTGCGTGCAAAAAATGTATTTCAGTGTTTGCTATTATCCATACACACACACAATAGCAGCCCCGCTTGCTCAGTTTTTGCATTTGCGCTCGCTCGCAATGTGTTACTTGCGCTCTCAACATTTCTGCCCGTGCACATTCAACTCTTTCTCTACACGTTATATTTGTGCTACAAAACCAGCCAATCACAGACTTCGTGCAAAAAAATCTGATTGGCTGTTTTGGTCTCCAATCAGCTCGAAATGATGAAATGCAATATCCCAGAATCCATTTCGTCCAAAACTCAAATGAGGCAGTGGCGGAGGAACACAGAGTGGCGGAGTTTGAAATATTACTCCTTCTGGGTCACAAAATAAACTTTTAAGATATTTTCATGCGAGAATGGTGCTGTGTAAACTTCAAATATCTGCTCGATTTATCAAGACATCACATATTTGCATAAGTGCTCTAATGTTTTCAGAGATGCTTGCTCATAGGGGGTCATATGATTATTGGGTTTTTCTCTGTATTATTATAGGATCTACCTGACAATACAAAGCGCCTTGAGGTGACTGTTGTTGTGATTTGGTGTGGTATAAATAAAATTTAAATAAAATTTAACTGAATGTAATTACAGTTTAGAATTACAGTAGAGATTCAATTCAATTCAATTTTATTTATATAGCGCCAAATCACAACATAAGTCGCCTCAAGGCGCTTCATAAAGAGATAAAACCCTAAGCTATGCCGTGGTAAAAAGGAAAAAAAAACCTGTGAAAATGTCCAGTTATGTTGTTTTAATCACCTGATTTAAATAAAATCTTCTTAATGGTAATGGTTTGTATTTTTATCTGATGATGCTCGTGAAGGTTTACACCCTTTTTATAGGCATAAATGAATCAATACTGTTGTATTGCACATCTCTTGTGCTCCATTGCATCAGACTGTACCTTTTAGAACTGGTAGCTGGGTGTAGCTGTAGTACATTTCTTTCCTCTGACTCTTATTTAGAAATCAAAGGCCAGAGAGTGGCTTTGACCATTAACCCCCAGCCTCAGGCCCAAATATAACAGAAAGGTCACAGTTTGATTTTTACTTTTATTTACAATGTTTTCATCTGCTTGTAGATCCTCCCACACTGGGCTACAAAGAGACGGTAATTATCGCCCTGGCAACAGTCTCCGTGTTGGCTGTGGTAGCTGCAGCAGCCTTCTTTGGTTACCGCATGATGCATGGTGAGTTGCCATGACGCCAAGGTGTGAGGAAGAGAATTCATTATTCAAGGCTTTTTAAATGTTTTTTGGTAGAATTTGATGAACTAAATCAGAGCTGTTGTTTTGCTTAAATAATAATAATGGATTGGATTTATATAGCGCTTTTCAAGGCACCCAAAGCGCTTTACAATACCACTATTCATTCACTCTCACATTCATACACATAAATGTGTCTATATATTTGTGTTTTTTGTATCCTGTGTATTATAGGAAATGGCAAACAAGGCCTTCACAATCTGAATATGATGGAAGCTGCGGGTTCGGAAAGTTCTCTGGACCTGGACAATCTCAAACTGCTGGAGGTCAGTGCGCACATCAGACTCCTTGTCCTCTTTTGTGGCTGCAGGAGCTGTGACTTGGAATATATTTAGTTTGGAGCTGCGCAGTCATCTTTCATAAGTTGAATCAGTTTGTTTTCTGGCCCAGGAAAGAGCCAGAGTATTTAGTGTAGCGGTGGGATGTGCCAGCTCAACATGATCAAATGAGCCAATAGGAAGAAAATACAGCCATGACTGAATTGTTGTCCAGCTATTTAAATACTCTAGATTTAGTAAGATTACTGCCATGGTTCCACACAGCACATTATTCTTAGTTTTTAATTGGTACAATAGGGATGTATGTGAAAATAGTAAAGTAAATCCCTCTTCTTCTTTTTTTCTCCTCCAAATCCTGAGGCCTTTATACTGGTGGTTTTTTTTGTTTTTTGTTTTTTGTTTAAAGAGATGATGTTGCTTCTCCAGCATCTCTGCACAAGGTAGTGTGTTTTTGAGAGTACAGAGACTCTAAGCTAGAAAGAGAAAGGAGAAAACAAAAATGCACTCAAAATACATCAAGGATTCTGGTTATGTTTGTCATTTCAATGTGACTTTTATCATCTGATCACAACAGGAGGCATTCAGTGACAGGGGCAGGCATACAAAAATAGAAATGTGCTTACACTGTCACAGGATCCTGAAATCCTGATACTAAAGAGGGAGAGCTCATAATGTGATAGGAAGTCGGCAGAGTTTGGATGCAGCCACGTTAGCAATATAAACAAAGGACTGGAATACAAATTAATGCTGGATCTGATTAAAGTAAGTCCAGGGAGACAGCAGGATGGCAGCAAAATTTCAAAATCACAGTTTCACTTATTAAAATGTTTCCATTTAATGTCATCATCATAGTTCAGTTTCCTACAAACTCAATTTCTGCAATATGCTGAAATTTCCAAAGCAACACGGGCTATTTTTTGGTTGTTTACAACCTGATTCCTCAAATGAAATTCTGGCATTTTTCAGCCTGACTCTCAGTCTGTGACTCATGCTGAGTGCACTATCCCACTGTGGTGTATGGCAAGCATGAGCTTTCCTTTTAAAGCTAGGATTGGTTATCAACCTGCCAGTTTGTCCTTAGTAGTATTCACCATTTATTTCAAAGAGGTAAACACTTAAATATTCTGAAAAAATATGTGTAGTTGTGTCAGTAACTACTAATTGACCTAAAACATTCAGTTTTCGGCTGTCGGGGATCCCGAAGGTTCAAACTGACCTTTTAGGAGAAGAAATAAAACATTCAATCTTACATTTTAGTACATAAAGTATATTCTTCAAAAGACATAAGCAAACTCTTTGCTTTTAGTCACCTTATCACAAAATGATAATAAATAGATCCAAGAGTCACAGCAGTTGATTATCCCACAAAAAAGAAGCGAGTGTGTGTGTGTTAGTATATGTTAGGCCAGTTAAAATGAACAACAGCTAGAAAATACAATTTCCGTTGTGTACTTTCATGAGAGAAATAAGATATGAACATAATGACCCAACGACACTGGTGCAGGCATGTTTTCTCCTCTTTCTGACATCTGTTCAGTGGGTTTAAATTCAGAGTCAGTGAGAGAGAGAGAGTGACATTTTGTTCAGGCAGGAGTTGAATTCAGAACACTGTCCTTGCAGTTTATCAAACGCAGGCACATGTTCCTTCACGTTAAACTGAAGGCTGGAAAGCCAGCAAACCTTACTCAGACAAAACAGGGTCCATTGTTTCCCGCAGTAGATTTTATAACCAGGCACGAATGTTTGGAGATGAAAATTGCCCAGAAATAAATGCCCTGGTAAATTCAGTTCTTAACCTCTTGCTGATGACTTTTTAGCCAGACTGTTTGGGGCTTAATGGCTTGCTGTTTTTTCAGCTCTCTAATTGAATGATTTGGCTGTTTAACTCTGCTGTTTGCCTGTAATTTACTTTCTTTCCTATCTGTCTTCTTCCCTGCCTGTCTGGGTTTGTTGTCGTACCTACCTCTGTTACCGTTTCTGTTTTTGGCTCTTTCGTGTTTGCAAAAAGTCTTTTCTGTGTGCTAGTGTTTCTGTAATAGGACTCAAACCAACTCAGACATAATTACTGCTTCATTCAGATATTCTCTTACTAGACAAACAAGTACCAAAGGTCTAGAATGTCAAAGAAGTCTATTAATAGTCTGCATTTCTTGCTGTCACCACCTCTTTCAGCTGATTGGGCGTGGCAGATATGGAGCTGTGTACTGCGGCTCTCTGGATGAGCGGCCTGTCGCCGTAAAGGTGTTTACTGCAGCCAACAGACAGAACTTCCTCAACGAATGCTCTATCTACCGGCTGCCGCTGCTAGAGCATGATAACATTGCTCGGTTCGTGGCAGCCGATGAGCGGACGGGCCCAGAGGGACGCACAGAGTACCTGCTGGTCATGGACTACTACCCACATGTGAGTACAGGGGAAGCAGTACCCATGTAAGTGTTATACATGAAGCATGTGTGTTCAGCATACAGAGCGTTTTCTTTTTCTTTTTACCTGCTGTTCCTTGAACTATTTGTTAAGCTTTGAGTAATGGAGGATTGACAACGCCTGTTTAATTTAATACTACAGAATTCTGGGAGAAGCAAACACAGCTGGTGCAGCAAATCATACTCATGGCGTTTTAATAAGGAAGTCAGTCAATAATTACAGCAACTGTAATACGATTTCATGCTGCATCCAGCATCAATAATTCTCCTCACACTAGCTCAGCCAATTAAAGGGCATTCTCCAGCTAGAAAGGTAACATAAACACTGGCTGTTTATAGTGCCTCCATAACATCTGGACATATTAAAGCAGGTTCACTGAGAGAAAATTGTGGACACACACTTGATAATTTGAATGTGTTTCCTGTCAGTGTTTCACAGTTAAGGCCACCTTTGTTTTGCCAATAGGAAGATAGTAATTTGAAGTAGCAGCATGAGAAGATGATTAAAACCTCTTCAGTCTATGTAAAATCTCCCACAACCAACATCTAACATGTCTTTATTGCAAACAAAAATGGCTAACTTATCCTGTTTTTTCAGTGTCATTATTGGAAGTGTGCTTCCAGCCATTCTCAAAATGTAGCAGAGAAGAGAAAAAATGTTGAGTAGGTTAAAAAGAGGCACATAAAAAGAACCTTAACACTGACTGCTGAAATCTAGTCTTAGGAACTCAACTGCAATTTTAATGTGTACTTAGCAAAAAGCTCAATATGCTTGTTGTCCAAACCTTGAGCTAATTACTAGTCAGCTGACTTGCAGTCCAGCCTATAAAAGGAACCTCTAATTTATGATAACCATTAGTCCTAATACACATTGTCATGGAAACACAGTGCAGTCCAGGACAGGAGACTGGGACACATAATGCATTCAAGTAAATGATAATATAATCAATTTAAAATGAACAGATGTAATGTAATTTTCTGTAGTAACAGATGCACAAATTGCCTTGTGATTGATTCTGAGAGAAAAAAATTAAATGTGTGTGTGTTGGGAGGGAGGGGGCGGGGGGGTTGTTTGGTGCACTAGGCCCAGCCAAGACTGATGGAGATAATTGAAGCAGGAAATTAATAATATCCAATATAATTTCCACTAACCAGTTTTCATAGAGTTGTTGCTGATACCTATCATAAGATGTCATAACTTTATGCCAGATTTTTTTCATCTAAATCATAAATGACTTTTCTACTGCAGAACAATAAAATCACTGCAGTTGCCTCAAAACTCGACGGAAGTGCAGTGATAAGATGTTTGGTTCAGTTACACTGTGAAACTCTGCATCCTACACCATCTTAATTTCTTTGTCCTCTATATTCTTGTCCTCCATGTGGTTCTCAGGGCTCTCTCAGTCGCTACCTGAACATCCAGACCAACGATTGGGTGGGCAGCTGCCGACTGGCTCACTCTGTCACCCGCGGCCTGGCCTACCTGCACACCGAGCTCTTTAAAGGAGGTGAGCTACACAGAGAGATTTAGAGTTAATTACTACCAAGACTGCCGCTTTCTCCTGTTACTGAAGCACAAACACATTTAAAGAATTGTCGTGGGAAATGGGAAAGTATCTTTGTTTTTAGCCCAGTTAGTTTGTTGCTGTGTTTTGTTTTGTTTTTTTAAAGAAATGCTTTGGATAGTCTGTGTTTCTCTTTCTCCGCTCTGTTCCTAGTACTTTCAGCTGTCTTACTTGCGGCACACTGCAGCTGCACGTGGGTGAATTTGTCTTAGAGTGCTGTATATCCCTGCATTTTGAAAAACACACGTACACACTTAGCACACGCCCAGCCATGGGTATTTATAGACTGGCCTCAAGCTAGCCTCAGAGAGAGGGGAAAAGGGAGACAAACAAGAGAGGAGAGATAGGAATTGAGGTAATATGCGAGTATCCCTGTAGCGTAGAGCTCGCTGGAGCCAGAGTCTCAAGTCACCAAACCTCAGACTGATTGGCTACACTTGGCCCTCCTTTTTTTCTTTTTTAAGAAATGGCATGGGAAAGAAGGTACACTAATACTTTTTGTGAGTAAGAGAGACTGTAAGCCCAACTTGCAGCACAAACAAGATAAACTTGTATTATTTTGCAAAGGAAAAAAGACAGAGGGGGCTAAAGTCACAGGCAACAGGGAGCTGGTGTTTGTTAGCTCTGTGCAGCAGCTAACAGCAGAATCTCTTGCCCCCCGCCCCCCCATTGGTCCTGCACATCAATAGCAGGCAGCACATAGCTGTGGTGACTTCCACAGCTTGCAGCAGTCTTCAGTGCACCCTCTGCTGGACAGAAGGATACTGCAAGTGGAGGCCATTGATATGATCTTAATCCCATTGTTGTAGATTAGATTAGAGGATTTAGTTGTCTGTTAATAGTGCAGCTTGTTTTGAACAGTGAGTAATGAGGGAAATCTGAATCTATGCATATATGAAGCCTTTTTAATCAATTATCATTCATTAGCAAATCCCACAAAACCTGCTTGAGTGTGCTGTCTGAGAGGTTTTGGGAGTACTGTACATGCTAACATCCTTAATGAAAAAGAAATTAGCCTAAATTTTGCAATTCTCCCTTCAAGACTTGTATAAGCCAGCGGTTTCACACAGGGACCTGAACAGCCGAAACATCCTCGTCAAAGCCGATGGCACGTGTGTCATTATCGACTTTGGCCTTTCCATGAAGCTGACAGGGAACAGAGCAGCACGGCACGGGGAAGAGGAAAACGCCGCTATAAGTGAGGTGAGTGTTCAGGAGGAAGCAGAGGATGCACCTGTATTGATGAGTGTAGTCTACTAGAAAGACAGCAGCAGAGGCAGGCAGTCAGGGTTAAGCACGGGAGTAAAATGGGAGTAGACAGCAAACAGCAAAGAATAGACTGCATCTTACAAGCATCAAGTTCAGATGAAATAAAATGGCATGGCTACTGAACTAAACACGGAGAGGCTATAGGCTACAGGAGATTATGTTTCTATAGAAAACAGTCAATGTGGTTTCTGGCATATATGCATTCATTTAGTTTAGCACTTTGTCAGCAAAGATATAGCCTGCTGATATTTTGTCAAAGCTGAGATTATGAGATCTAATAATGTGATCCAACTACATCCACAGCAAACAAAACCCACCTGTGTCGGTGTTACAGTATTTCTGGACAGTTTAACAGTTCCACCACACCCCCACTTACACCTTCTTTGTCTTCCAGGTGGGGACTATCCGTTACATGGCCCCCGAGGTGCTTGAGGGCGCGGTGAACCTGAGGGACTGTGAGGCAGCACTAAAGCAAGTGGACATGTATGCCCTAGGCCTAGTCTACTGGGAGACCTTCATGAGATGTACTGACCTTTTCCCTGGTGAGTTAAATCTGCTTTGTGTTAAGTCATTCCTACTGTGGGATTGCCACTTAAGAATAGAACAGAATAGCCATTTATTGTCATTCTGCATGTACAACGAAATTATGTGTGCTGCACACCAACTGTGCAGGAGTAAAATATAAATAGTAAGACAGCAGGAATAAATAGCAAACAGACAAAATGTATACAAAACAAGAAAAAGGCACACATTAAATATAGAAAGACTGTAAAGCTACTTGTGTTATGCTCAGGAAAGGAAGCACCAGGTGAAAGGTGCATTTTTAGCAAACTTAATGGGTATTTCTGATATGTCATAGACATCTAAAACGAGGCTTTTCTCTTCCTGTCCCTGCTTATCCCTAGGAGAGTCTGTGCCAGAGTACCAGATGGCCTTCCAGGCGGAAGCAGGGAACCACCCAACATTTGAGGACATGCAAGTTCTGGTATCCAGGGAGAAGCAAAGGCCTAAATTCCCTGAGGCCTGGAAAGAGAACAGTCTGGTGCGTATGTATGTAGGGAATAGGGCTAAAATGAGAATGCTTTGAGAATACTGCCACATTGTAACAGGATAGCAAAACAATTCCGCAAACAAAAAAGCTTAGAAATAGTCTGTTTTGGAGCTTGGCTATATAGCAAAATATTTTTTTCCCCATCAATCTTTTCCAAAGATGTTTACCCTGGCTTTATTTGTTCAGAAGCTAATTTTTCTGTAGCTCCAAAATCCTGTTTATGTGTGAGTGAAAAACTAGTAATGTTTACAAAAATACTTGCGTACATGTGGATGGTGAAGATGATGAAGTTGTGTAGAAAGGCAGGACGAGTTTGGAAGCGATCCAATCAGAAGTAATCTCAGTAATGTCAGACACGCACAATTTGATCTGCTCCCAACAAACAGGCTGGGAGGATGGCCTCAGCCCATGAAAATGCAACAAAATGCCAGTGCTCAGAAGGAGAGAAGAGTAGACGTATTGATATCAAGGACAATTTGTGAAGCTAATCTCACCGGTAAAAACACTAAAAATCAACTGATAACTTTAGATTTAGTCTTATGATATCTCTTAGTCTTATGATACTTAGTTCACTAAAATTTTAAGAACTTAGAAGTTTTAGTGAAAAGAATGAATAAAACAAAATCAAAATTTGCAGTCGAAATGACCACTGTTTCCAGAAACCTAGTTCTGGGTTTGGTTCAATTGGACATACACTTGATTACATAGTCCAAAGCAAACCACCAAACCCCCCAATTGTTTATAATTTCTCTGTGTGTGTTGCAGGTGGAGAGTTCATTTTCTAAAGTTACTCCAGCTTAGGGGATAAATGACAAAATGCAGAAAGTGTTTCTATTACAAGCACTGCAGTGTTGATATTGTTGATACTAGTCATGTAGTTAATAGCCATAATATGCTGTGTTTTCCAGGCGGTTCGATCTCTGAAAGAGACAATGGAGGACTGCTGGGACCAGGACGCAGAGGCTCGTCTCACAGCTCAGTGCGCTGAGGAGCGTCTGGCGGAGCTGCTCCTCATATGGGACCGCTCCAAGTCTGTCAGCCCTACACTCAACCCCATGTCCACTACACTGCACAACGAGAGGTATGTTTCAACAAAGCCACATCCTGTCATTGTATTCATTGTTTCAAATGATCTTGCTGAGGTTTTCAACACTGTTTCTTTGATCCAGAAATCGCATGACGCCAAAGTCTGGCCCGTACACAGACCATTCGTCTACGTACATTGAAGAGCATGAAGGTGTAGCCAAGAACACGCAGGTGGATGCAACTAGTTCTTTGACTGGTAGAGTTGGGGTTGGGACCGGAGAGAGAAACAGGAATTCCATCAACCAGGAGCGTCAGCAGCAAGCAAACGCCCGTCTGCCCAGCCCAGAAAGCAGCACCACCAGCATGGGCATGAGAGGTAGCCCTTCAGCCTCTGCTACGACTACCACTATCATCTCTGAGTCAGAGGGACTCGCAGGGGCCACCACAGTGCCCGTGTGCCTACATCTTACCCAAGAAGACCTGGAAACCACAAAGCTGGACCCTAAAGAAGTAGACAAAAACCTGAAGGAGAGCTCGGATGAGAACTTAATGGAGCACTCCCAGAAGCAGTTCTGCTCACCAGACCCACTTAGTCCTGGCAGTTCCAGCCTGCTTTATCCACTTATAAAGATGGCGAGTGAGGTCTCCGGTACATCAGACACTGCTGCCACAATGCCCCCTACCATCTTTCCCTTGCCCAAGCAGCAAAACTTGCCCAAGAGACCATCCAGTCTGCCCCTGCGCAACAAGCCTGTCAAGAAGGAATCCTCCTCCTCTTCACTAAGGTTTAAGTTTGGGCGCTCAGGAAAGTCCAACCTGCGCCAGGTGGAGGGAACAAAGATGAACATTAGTACAGTTACGGGCACAAATTCGGCTGGAGAGGTTCACCGAGGCACAGGCACAAACAACTTACCTGTTCGACGGGATACACATGCCAATGCAGCCATTAACGGCACCGTCAATGGTCACATCAGTGCTGGGATCTCATCCATAGTAACAGGTGGAGCGACAGGTTTTGGAGGCTCCAACATAACTCACAATGGATCTGGAGCTCTGAGGTCAGATGACAGCCGGCTGTCCCTCGGCGTCATCACAGCGAGCCCCGATGAACACGAGCCTCTTTTGAGCCAAGAACGAGAGCAGCCTGATCAAAGAGACGCGTCCACGAATGTGACCGCTCTCCGCTCGGCCCGACCCAACACCAACAATAACAACAGCAACACGGGGCATGGCCAGGGGGATGGCGACAGCGGCGGAGAAAGTGATGAAGGCGAGCCAGAGGGAAGCAGTGAGGGGACAAGCAGGGAAACTACGGTGCCCCCAGGAGAAAGCTCACTGTCGGGCACTGTTGCAACAGACCCCCAGGGGGAAGCTCCAGTCACCATGAGAGGAGAGGCCCTGCTCAGGCAGCCCAGAGCCCGTAGGCCAGAGAGACCTAACTCTCTGGATCTGTCCTTCACAACACAGGACCTGGCCTCACTAGGTGAGAATCATTTGCAAGTATTCTGTAGTTGTATTGGCCCATTGGATCATACTGCAGTTTAATTGTCTAAAAACAACTCTTAAATTTCTCAGAGGGTTCAGTAATTTCCAAACAGAGCAGGTCTCTGTTGTTTATATTAAATATTACTGAACAGGGAGAAATGGTACATCTCCATGAGGGGCTGTTTTCAGTGGCAGCTAATCCAATTTGTTGCTAAACTGACTATTTTTGGAAGCACAAAGGTGTGTGTGTGTGTGTGTGTGTGTGTGTGTGTGTGTGTGTGTGTGTGTGTGTGTGTGTGTGTGTGTGTGTGTGTGTGTGTGTCTCTATATTTCGGGCTTTGAACCACACATATTGTAGATACATTCAGTGTTAATTTGACTGCAGATAAAACGAATTGGCAAGAAGCCGAACCTACAAATGTTTGGCATATTTCATTTAATAAAGTACTTCAAACAGCCCTCTGTTGCTAAATTGTATTATAACTAATTGTAATCCATCCGTTATTAACTATGCACATGAAAGTCAATTTGCTCATAACAGATGTCTGCAATATATAATGGAAGCATGAAGTTTGAAAGACATAATGTTTACTAGGCACAGAGAGTGTTGTTGCATTATGGGAAATGTAGGGTCCAAAGCTTTTTGTAGGTTACACAGTCAAAATTGCTGCTTCTGCTGCTTTGATTTTGGTCATTCTTCTTTTTTCTTCTTCTTCTTTTTTGTGCTCCAGTTATTGGATTTATTATCAGTAGTTTTTTATCTATTTAAAAAAATAAATAAAATAATAATAATAATAATAATGTTGGAAAAAAGAGGCTTGTGAAATGTAGAAATCAATAGTTTAAACTGAATTGTTGGTCAAAATAAGAAACATTATATTTTATTCTTTGTTTCATTTAGAATATTTTAGAAATTAAATGTCTAATCCAGCAATTCAGTTAATAATCAGTGGTTAATAGAAAAGAAGGTCCTTATCAAAATGTGTAGTTTTTCATGGCCTCTTTAATGATTTTCATGCACAAAGGTGTTGCTACATTGCTCATTAATCATTGTTCCACCCTGTTTTCCAGGAGATGGTTTAGTCCAGCCAGATGGAGCGTTGGGGACCGGAGATAAGATCAAGAAGCGCGTCAAAACCCCTTATTCTCTGAAAAAGTGGCGACCCACCACATGGGTCATCTCTACAGATACCCGGGGGCCAGAAGTTAACAACAATGGCTCTACCCGAGGTCAAAGTCACAGTCAGAACCGGCCCAAGTCCAGTTCAGCCATCTACCTGCGGGGGGGCAGCTTGGCCAGCGAACCCAGTGACACGCATGTGTAAACTTGGACCCTCTAACAGGCCCGGCAACACTATCTAGAGAGCACTTATTATTTTATTTTGTGTGGAGCTCTCTGCTCTGAATCAGCACGAGGAAGCTATGGAATATGTCACAAACCAACAATAGAGTCTGATCATGTACAGTAATTAGGTCTGTCCCGCTCCTGTGTGTCCTTCTGATGGCATTGCTTTAAATGGAATCCAGCTATGCAGCATTTTCATTGGCTTCTGTTTCTGCATTGTTTGTTTTGTGTTTTTTAAGTCTTGGTTTGAAGTTTCATAGTGGTACATTAATTCATTTTTTTTTTAATTTGTGCACTTTGAATGAATTTGAAATCAGTGTTTCCTAAACGTGTCTGTTGCGACCAAGACGAAGATTGGTCTCTAAACTTAAACAGGCGATGAAAAAACAATCAACACTCGAGCGCTCGGTTACTCCCCCTTTGCTCTATCGAGTAAAGTGAGAGTGGGCTCTGTAAACAAATTAATGGTCTTAAAAGACAAAGCAACTTTTTAAACATTTTCCTTGTATGCAATACCAATTGTTGTCTCATGACTTTGTATCCTCTTTTTGTATCATACCTTTTAATTGTGCAATAGGATGTAGCTTTTAGATGCTTTCAGTGTTTTTATTGCTTCAATTTTTTTATCCTGTTGTTATTTTGATATGTTAATCTCTGTTGCACTTATGAATAGTCACAGTCGTTTTGTAAACAATCCATCGCACACTATTGTAACCCTCGCTCCCCCCAACCTGACTCACGAGGAGAAAATAGCTGACAATCCTCCTCTTTGGACTATCTTTATGGGAACGCTAACACAAAAGAATCAGTCCCAGCTGACTTAAAAGTGGGCTGACGTGGAACTTGTCTGCTTGCACAATTACACCAGTAACAAATCTCATTCTGGGGTCTTACAATCACTGGAGCTGAACTTACAGAGGCATCTGTTACAGTGGCTGACTGGAGTCACTGTACCACTATCATTTGACCTCAGTATGGACTCTGCATTTAGCTGTCTGTCTGCAAGACATGAAATATTACAAACCCCAGATTCTGCTGTTCAAACACAAATCAAAAACTGAAGAAAAAAAACACACTGAAGCACGCTGGATATTACTTTTTTGTTTCTTGTCGTCTCATCCCCTGACGGTGGAGTGAGTGATGTGTGTGTGTGTGTTGAGTGAATGTGCACGTGTTATTTACTCGCGCTGTACAGGCGTGCTGAAATGTCGACATACTCATTCTGTATTTTCAGCGCTGCTTCAGGGCATATGAAAAGATCTCATTTATGTTTTTGTAATCTGTAGTTTGTATCAAAAAAACAATCCTTACATGTATCGCATTAATATTTGCATCATTTTTATGGTATTGTGTTTTGCATTCAATGGACATTGCCTTTGATTCCATTGCTATGCGTCTGCTTGGTACAGTTTCTGTAAACATTTTCAAGTCAATATGGAAGAAGAAAAACCCCTCAATAAATGTATGAAATAATTGTTGGGTATATACGTTTAATCTGTGTTTGGGTTCATGCCTTTGGTGCCCCTGAGGTGTTGTCAGCATTATTCAGAAGAAAAACATTTGTGGACGATGTGCAAGGTTAGAACCTGCTGTGAAATAGCTATTTTATTTATTTAACACCATATTTACCACTTTTATGCTATGAAAACAAGATTTTTTTTTCAAAATAACTATATTGTATAGTCTTTTCTGGTCTTGGTCACACAATTTTTAAACATTTTGTTTGTGCAAAATTAATGTGGTACAATGTTGGTCACTGCCACTGGTAAATCTGCTGATAGCTGTCACTGAGGCCAATATTGACAAAAAAAGGTGATTACTTATTGTTTTCTTTTGCTTTTGTTTGTTTTTTTGTTTTTCGTCAGGAAGGACATCGGCGTTATAATCTTCCAACTCAAACATCGCTGTGGTGGCCTCTTGTGAATAAGGAAAGAGTCTAAAGTGTTTTAAGACGCTTAACAGAACAACAGTGGCAGCACCAAAGGACTAAGCTACACTAATACAGCCGCATGATGAAACACTTGGCTGTCTTGGACGTAAATCAATGGAATCATTCAAACAGAAATAATATCGGTTGGGTTTTTTGTTTTTGTTTTGCTTTTGTCTTTTTTGCACCCCTGTCGACCAACCCTCTTAATTCTCAGTGATTAATCAACACTAGGTAGTCATATCCTCTCGCGCTTGTTTACTTCACCTCTGTTCTCCGCTGTCTGCTCCACGCGCCCTAGCAACTGCAGCATCAGCACGAGCAGCTCAGCGTTGGTAAGCTACGTCAGAGCACTACTTCTTCTGCGCCAAGTCAGCCGGGAGCAGCCAGGACGTACCGGAAGTCGATCACATTACATTCAAAATAAAGTGCCACAAACCTACGCTTTTTCGTGTTTTTTTATTATTATTTTGTATCATCATAACTAAGAAATTCAAAGTGGAAAACGGCTAATATAATCGTTTATTTGTAAAAATGATACTATAAAAATTATGGTTATCTGCTTTATACAACTTTCTAATGATTTCATTAGTTGAGCAACGAAATTAAGATGCAATCCTCTCAGTGCAAAAGAATAATACAAAACTACAATAAAGTTGTGTGTGTGTCTGTCTATACAAAAACGAAAAACACAATTATTTCCGTATTGCACTTATAATAATAATAATAATAATAATAATGGATTGCATTTATATAGCGCTTTTCGAGGCCCTCAAAGCGCTTTACAATTCCACTATTCATTCACTCTCACATTCAAACACTGGTGGAGGCAAAGCTACAGTTGTAGCCACAGCTGCCCTGGGGCAGACTGACAGAAGCGAGGCTGTCATATCGTGCCATCGGCCCCACTTGTCCTCATTTGCCGGTGTTGATGTAAATACCAAAGACAACTGTTGTCGTGATCATATATATTAAAGTGAAAGTACCAAATGATCATGATTACGTGGACCTGACAGCGTGCAGATTTGATTTAGAGGATAACAACCGGAAGTATCGGTTACACCGGCTGACTTCACACTGCACTGGTCCCTCTCCCGTTGTGTGAGCGGAGGCTAGCCCAGCATCACCGCCTTCTTCTTTCTATCCTTTCTGAATGTGTTATTCCTGTCTTGTTTTTTGTTGTTGTTGTTTGTTTGTTTAGTTTTTTTTCCAGCTCATCACAAACTCCACAGACGAGGCACCCTCGCTCTGTTTTTAACAGTTATTTTCTTCGAACACAAAGCGTTTGGCTAGACGCTTAAAGCTGTCGCGTTGCTTCAGCCGGGAGAGAAAAACATCCATCCCCGACGTCTCGAGGAGGCAGGGTGCGAACACAGCAACGCCCATTTTGACACAAGCGGTATCGCTGCTGTCCTCACGAAGGCCGTGTTTCTATTTTTTCCCTCTTTTTCGGTGTCTGCCTTTGATATCTGAGTCTACCTTCCTTACTTGTAATCTTCACCCTGGTCATTCTGCCCTGCCTTTTCTCATCGCATCTGTAGCATCTTCGAGTAGTGGCAACAGGGTCCGGGGCTGCCGAAGAGCTCCCATGCCCCTTTGCATGCAGCGCACCGAGACTGCATTTTGCAGGTGAGTCTGATTTTACATACACAAGGTCAGAAATTTGGATGCTGTTCCTGAGCATGGATTATAGCACCAGCGTGGAATATGTTTTTGTATGTGTGAGGAGGGGTGGCGTGCTTCCCACCAAACACAATCGGCCTACATTTCACCGTGCAGGCTTTTGTATGGAGATGAACGTGCAGGGAGCATTAATTTTTCGTATTAAGGTCCTCTCATCTAAGGGATATTTCATCCCCTAATATGTCAAGTTAGCATGGAGGATAGATAGTAATAAAACAGGCAATGTTCAACATTTACAATTAAAACCACATCTATTCTCTTAGTGGTTCGGGTCATGTTCTTAGGCCAAAAAATGTTCTGTTGTTCATGTTGTTCTGACAACAACATAACAGAAGGTTGAGCCACTCTTCTATTATTTCTGCTACTACTACTGCTGCTACCAGTGTTACTATTGCTGGTAGCGTACACTGGGCAGGTGATTTGTGGGCAGCCGCTGAGGCAGGAAAAAGCTGCCATCAAAATAAAGTGGTGGGAGCATTTCACTGGCAGACTGCTGATGCTGAAAACCCCGCTTAGCCACACACACAACCAACCAAGTTCTCTTGTGTGTTAATAATGATCAGAAACACCCCCCCCCCCCCCCACACACACACACACACACACCACCGACGTTTCCTAGCAACAGCTATATGCACTGGTCAAGGCCCCTGCCAAATTTAGCTCAAGGACACACACACACTACCAGTCAGAGCTGTGTGTTTGCATTTATGGATTCATGTTCTATTCATTTCAACATTATAAGAGAAGATGAATGAGTTGATTCTTTGTTATCCATTAAAACTGTCTGCAGTGTGTGTTTGCACTGTTGCACTGCCGTTCTGCTGTCATAGCAGATGAGGGAGAATTCTGATGTTGAACTGTACTTTTTGGTATTTAAACGTTGTAAATAATCATGATCTCAATATTGAAAATGTGATTCATTAGAATGCAAAGAATTCTCTGTTATCAGAGAATGCATAGACTCAGAATTACATAAAAGAAGCTGTTGTTAATGCTATATCAACAACCCTACAGTGAGATGGACAGAATCACTATAAGTGGCGTTATATACAAGGTTGTAATATACTGTGTATACCAAATTTTTGCCTATACACAATCCTAGAGGTTTTGTGCAATTCACTGATGGTGCTGGTACCCTGGATGCAAGAACCCATGGGTGTCAGTGAATCACTGCAAAACCTCAACCTGCAGCCAGGGTCAGTTGGGTACGCTCCCCTGCTCTCATTTAAGGTGTCTTAATGCCATTAACCAGGGGGTCGTGTGAGCCTGGCATAGCTGCTCTGCCCAGCATGGGATGGATTAACATCAATCTGGCCACACACACACACACACACACACACACACA